GTTCCCCTAGCCCACAACCCTGACGAAAGAAAGAGAGAGAGAGGCGGCGCTTCGCGCGGGGCGACGCGTTTCCGAGCGTTCTCTTCTGGTATCCCTGGAGGAGCTGCTTTACCCTTTGGAACGGCTTGGGCCACGCCAGGGAGGAGCAGAGAACTGGCCTTGAGCCGTAGGCCCGTAGGCCTAAGATTGAAAAGAGTCTAACAGTCTAAGGCTAAGTCCAAGACCAAGAAGATCTAAGAGTCTTCTCAGACGCCAGGAGCTCATTGAGCTGCCCGTGAGTACGGAGAAGCTGGAAGTGGTGAGTGGCACCCGTGGTGTCCAGGCAGCTGCAGTCTTCGCGGATGACTCTTTCCCTCACGTTCGTTTCAGGGGGCCGTGGAGTTCCAGATCGTCGAGTCGCTGCCCTCTGTAACGAACTACGGCGCTCCTGCAGGAGCCGGAGCACAGCACATTGCAGTGCACATCAGCATGTTTGCAGAGCGGCTCACAGGAGGGGCCAGCAAGACGCTGCTGGTGGCTGTGAAGCTGCCGGCTGTCGGACACGCGAGCTACTGCCTTCAGACTGCAGGCGAGGAACAGAAAGCCTTTCAGCGAGTGTGGCCTGATGTTCTGCATGTGAAGTGTTCCGGGCTTGTGCGGGAGGCGTTGCAGCACCCACCGCGAAGCTCGCAAACATCTCCCAAGGAGCTTGTCAGGCACGCGGCCTCTCATGAAGACAGATAGGGATCGGGATCGAGACGTGCCTCTCGCAGTTTTGCAACTCCATGCGACAAAGTCGCTCCTTGCACTGCCATCTCTCTGGCTCGCTTGTTCTCTGTTCGGTGGATTTTGCTTCTCTCGCTCTCTCTGTTGCGTCTTTCCTCCTTGCATAGCTGCGTCTTTCTTTAGCTCTCCCAATGTCTCTCTCTGTCTTTCTGTCTGTGTTTCCCTGGACCCAGCCATCCGTGACTCTGCACCCGCTTGTAGTTTGCAGAGAAGGAGGTCAGATGAAAGCAAGGGTAAGAGAATGTAAACTAAAGTTGCATTGAGAAGCACTTGACCTGCTTCAGGCCCTGGAGAACGAAAACCTGAAGCTGTGGTTCTGCGGTGGTGCTTCAGAGACAAAGCACATTTTCGTTGACGTGTCGGCCATTTTTCAAACGCGAGCCTTCTCTCACTTTGGCGCATGCAGGTATGCTGGCGAATATCACGGACAAGCTGAGCAAGACTTCTACACGTGCTGAGCAGTCGTGGATGTGGTACAAGGCTGTCTGACGTCGTTTTTAAAACCATGCCTGGAAATAGCTCTGAAGAGCTGCGCATGTAAGAGCTGCACAGGCATCCGTGGGCGACGCAGCGAGCTCTCAGGCCAGTGGTGCCTACATCTTCCGGCCCAACCGCTCTCAGGACAGGGTGCAATGGGACCCTGAAGTTCCGCAGCTTCGCCCTTGCTCTTGGAAAGGCACTTCCGGTCTTTACCGGCTTGCCCTTCATGCGCGTGTTTCGCGGGCCGCTTGCCGACGAGGTGCAGTGATCCTTGCAGCTTCCTGTGACGATGAAGGCATGGGGGGCCCCCGGAGGTGCACCAGCAGGTGGGTTCCTGGATCTCGCAGCGGACTCGCCTGGCCCGGGGTGCAAGGCATGTTGAAATTACTTACACCGTGAGCTGTTCGGCTGCACACAGAGCCCGCAACTCGTATCACGAACAACTCATATCATCTCATATCACGACTCGATTGCATCTGTGAGCAATGTGGGAGCAAAGGTGATATCCCGGTCGATGATGGCTGGGGGAAGGAGATCGTCCCAGCCTCGTTTCCCTCCCCCCCAAGCTGTGGTGATCTTGGCCCGACAAGTCCGTCTGCACGTCCGCCTCGACAAGGTTTCCCGCATAAGCACCGACATCAAGACTGGCGGCACTTGCTACACAGACAGCAACGGCCGGGAGATGTTGCAAAGAAAACGCGCCCTGCCCCGCATTATTATCATGTATTGGGAATCTGTGGCAGCTGGGGCAGCGCCGAGGAGACTTCCGGCCAACTTGGAAATTGAAGCAAACCGAGGAGGTTGCAGGCTGCCTTTTAAGTAGAGCTGAACGTCTTGGGTTTTGGACGTGTTCTTTTTTTCCGGCAGGAAACTACTTCCCTGTGACGACCTCCCTGTACATCAGGCTGCGGCTGTGCGAAGAAGCCCGAAAGGGGGGCTGCTCGCGGGCTGCTTGGGTGGTTTTTTGTCTCAGGGACACGGCTGCCCAGCTCACGGTCCTCACGGACGTCGCCCAGGAGCTCAAGCTCGGGAGGGACCCGGGTGCCTTTCGTTTCATCCCCAGCCTGAAGGCCGGCACCGGCTGCGTACGAGATGGTGAGATCGAGCTGATGGTGCACCGCCGGCTGCTGCAGGAGCGCTGTAGACTCTAGAGTCATCTAGAAGTCTACAGTGCATCCCTTGTCGCGAGCCAGCAGGGGATCTCCTGTGAGGATGATGGCCGTGGTGTTGGCGAGCCATTGAATGAAACGGAGTTTGTGACCCCCTATGTTGGAGACAAGAATGATCAGGGCCGGCACTACGGACCTGGCCTTGTTCCTTGGAAGCAGATCTCGAGCTTCCGAGCTTCGGGGCACCCGACGCGTGCCGTCTTAGGTGACCCGGGGAGTGCACGTGCTCCACTTTGGGCCACCGGCCACAGCTGCGGCCACATGGCGGCCTCTGATGGACCGCATGTACATACCGGTGCAGCCCTTCTTTGGAGGTCACTCTGCTAACGTACAGGCAAACGATGTGCGGTGTCGGTGTACCCTAGAGCCTCCGCAGCAAGCGCATGACTTTAGGTGGCAAGGCAGCGCCAAGCGTCGGATCCTTCTCCTTGCAGGGTGACCTGCCGCCAAGCCTGCAGGTGCGGAGGGTTCCGAGGGGTGGGGGGGGGGTCTCAGGAGGGGACGAAGCTCGCTCTGAAGAGGTGCTCACACTCTCGCAGTGGGATGAAACGCATATTCTTCTTCGAATTGGACATCAATTCGGGATCGGCGAGGACATTGTGCTGTTGTTGCCTCACCACCACTGAGTAAAGCAAGCGCTTCTTCCGACAGGACTCCGAATTGTCCAAACCGGTGTCTGTGGACATCAAGTCGGTTTTGGTAGGCTGTCGCGCATCGGAACATGAAGCGCATCGTTTGAGCTCCCTTTTCGGGTACCCCAAGTGTCGATGCGGGCAGGTGCAACCGTCCTCTCCATTGAAGAGCGAGGATTGGCGGCAACTATCACCAGGGATGAAGTCGAGCGCCTTATCCAAACCAAGCACCTGAATTACAATCTCTAGCAGTTGCCCTGCTCTCGCAGTAGGACCGTGAGATTTGTTGTGTTGAGTTCTGAAGCCAGCGTGCTGGCCATGTCCTGCTAACAAGCGTCGCACGTTACGCTTGCCAGGCAGCGTCGTATCCCTTGGCATGTGGAAGGGTCGAGCCGGTCCAAACAGCGCTCCGACGTCTTCACCTTTGGCCCGCTTCAAATCAGGCTTCGTGACATGCCTCGCGTGGAGCATGAGTAACGGCATATCGCAACAGCTGGCAAGGACCTTCTTCGTGCAGATTGCCCACCAGAGTGAGACGATGTTCGTTTGAGGGACTGCATGTGCCTCTCTGTTCCCGGGGTTTTGTGTCCAGACAGTGGGCCCGAAAGAAGAGGACCCAAGAAACGTGGCCCCCGTGGTCCGAGCAGGAGTGCAGCCAGCGAGCTTTGAATCCCGCTGAGCCCCACCCGGCAGCTCGTAAGTTTAAGCTTCCTGGGGCGCTTCGCCTGTGCCGATTGGGCCGTGAAGCTCTCACCAGGCCTCAGCTGGAGGAAAAAAGGCTGTCCTCGAGTCATCTTCATGCCCGGAGAGCCCTGAAAAGGTCCAAATATTTCAATTCCGGACTCGTCTTGTCCAGGTCGAGGCCTTGAGGAGGCAGGGCAGCAATGGGCAGCAAAACCGGAGGCTTCCGGACACGACACCACCTTCGAACAGGAAGCCAGGACAAGCCAGACCCGACTTGTCCTCCCTGGCGGCTCGCGTTGCATGGTTCGGCTGCCCAGTCACCCCCCGAAAAATAAGAGGTCTTACTAAGCGGTAGTAGTCTTCCCTCAAACTCTACTTTTCCGCGATGAGGGCCAAGGAGCGGCCGACGGGCGCGCAGAGGCGCGCGCCCCAAGAGAAGACCGACGATCTGCAGTGCTCCATGGCGGCTCCGCCTCACTCTGGGCTCTGGTGCTCTGTGCAGGTGGGAGCTCCTCCCACACTACTGCCAGGCGCGCTCGTAGATGACTCTGAGGTGGGCACTTTTTTTGTGCACCTGCAGGTCGTGCAGGGTCGGAGAGCTGAGCACAGCGGCCGTGGCTGGCTTCAGGCGAAACACAGTTTGCTTGGTATGCTTGTGACGGTTATGGCCCGGTTGCTGTTGCAGATGACGAGTCTGTAGCAATGCTGAAAGTCGGGGACGAGCTCTGCTGCTGGTGCCGTTGCTGCTGCTGTCTGCTCTTGACTTGCCAAGGAACATCATCAAGAGCATCATAACTCATCCCGCACTCCCCTCAATCACGTCCCCAAAACTCACAACCGTAACACTTGATTCTTTTGGTCTCTTGACCCTCGAGCCAAGTTCGCACCGATTTGTGCTTGTCATCCTTGCTGCGCTCGCACTCGAACTCTGACGACTTGACCTTGGTACACTTCTCGGATTTGTGCTTGCTTCACAAACACTCCTCCCCAGCGTCCGCTTCAGACATCGTTTGTGCTGTATGCTGCCTCGAACATGTTGGCACAAATTCCCTACCACTAAAGATTACTTTGATCGCCCCTTCACGCAAAGCAACACAATTGCTCCTGCCAGGTACCCCCACGGCCTGTAATGCCATCTTTCTTGTTTCGGGGTGTTTGTTGGTTCGTGATGCCCAGTGTCTTCAATTGGCGATCTTTCCAGCATACTCCAGCGGATTTACCAAAAGGATAATTAAACTATGTGATTTCCGGTCTTACTGGACTATTCCTTCGGGAAAACCGGTGATTCATGCACATGTCGGAGCTCTCCACCACTCTCCGGGAAGTGAATGCTCTTCATGTCTTTAAACTCGATAGCCGAACTGCTGAGACCTGAAATGTGTCTCATGTCAACCCGCTCTTGGTGCAAAATGTGTTAGGTTTGCTCGCGGAGTCCGGCCTTCTCTCGAAGGATTTGCAACCGGAATTTGGGGAGAGGCTCGTGGATGACCGCAGCTCCAAGATCCTGAATTGAATCACGCAGCCAACTTGCTCGTAATAGCTCCACTTCAAAGGCTGAAGGCTCTCCCTGAAAGCCAGAATGATAGCAGCTGAGTTGTCACATCTCAGCGCGGAAGTCCATGTCCCATCAGCTGGTTCACTGCTGTTTGCATGCGATCTCCTTGACTCAGACACTCCGACATGGCAACCGTCTCTGCTTCGGTGGCTGACCACGCCGTGAGGGTCTGCTCTGTGGATGCCCAATCAAGAATACTAGACCCTATCATGTAAACCAGCCCAGACCTTGACCTTCCAGCTGTTGGAGCAAATGACGCGTCGGAGAAACATGTGACCTCCTGTATGTCCTGTTGCGCCTTGTAGTTGGGGCAAGCATCCAATGTTCCACGGATGTACCGCCATACATGACGACCAATCAGCCGCAATACCCGCTTAGGGCTATGAGTCAACTCCGATGCCAAAATTCCTACCGTGCTGGCTATGTCAGGTCTTGACCGTGTGCTCATCCACAACAGTGTTCCTAGCTCACGCTGACACTCAAGCTTATTCTGTTCATATGCCTCGTCCTCGACTTCGTCATCATCAAGCTCAAGTTGTGGCAAGCCTTTAAGATGGAACCACTACCGTCGATGAAGCTCCTGTAGACCCAAGCGCTGGTTGATGATCACATCGCTCCGTGCGTTGAAGCTACCCAGCTCGCCACACTTGACATCACACTCTTTTCGGCTGATGTACCCCTGGAGTTTCAATGTCCACTCTTGCCCAATGTACTCCAGAGACCTTCACACCACCTCCTTGCAAGCGAGACATTGCTAGGGCCGCAGTCAATTTCAGGTCCAGGCCTCATGTCACACTGGGTTTAGTTGAGAATCCTAGACCCTAAACCCTAAACCGCCTAAACCCTTACTAGTCGGAGTCGAGTTCTCCTTGGGTCAGTTTCGCTCGCCTGGAGGTGACCACCCGTCTTGCGGCAGAGGAGCTGTGGCAAGTCTCCATTGTGACATTCGCAGCACATTTTTGCCGTAAGCGTACAGGAAACTTGGACCTCGAAAGGGAGGTCCGATCAATCTCCGCGGGCACGGACCTCAGAGACGGATGGGGAGCTCCCGGCATCCGGGCTCAGCCCAGGTCCGCGAGCACTTTGTGGTCTTCGAGCTGCCTCGTGAAACGAGCGGGGTCGCAGAGGACCGTCCGCGGCATGCTTTTGAAGCATTCCAAGAGTGTTAAAAACCTGCTGGCAGGACTTCCGAATAGCTGCTGTGAAACCTGGTGTGCCGGCAGAGTCGACTTGAGCAGAAAACGCTGTACTTGCCTGCCAACTCCAAGCGCGACAGCTTTGGCGGTTTTGCTCATAGCCCTCTCTGCAGGTGCAGAGTGCGAAGCTGGCTCAGCTGCAGGCACCCATAGCACCCTCTCAAACTCTCGTCTCCCCTCAGAAAGTCACCCCCAGCCGCCAGGCCGAGCTCCAAAAGAGCACTCAGGCCAGGTGAAATCCTCTTCTTAACCCTCTTCTGCAGCACATTTCTACGAAGATGACCAGGCACACGTTGAAGAGCAACGGAAGGCTTCCGACTTGCAGGTCTGCTTCGGCATGGCTTGGCTAGCGCCCATGCATTTGACTTGCCCCGCTTTGCTGACATGAGCATGTTGCTGAGTTGCTCAGCGGGTGTCGATTCGCACCACAGCACAGCTTCTCGTAGTGCCGTTAAGCTTCTCTGAAGCTCCAGCCACCACTGTCATGCCGTGTCTTCGCCACGACAAATTTTGCTAATTTACCACAGATTCGCGACTCTCTGCTGACATTGCTCAAGACTGTCGCAGCAGGAACATGGCCAAATCGAAGATTCGACAACTTCCCAAGTGCAGCGAGATGTCAAAGTGTTGCATGAATCGAAGCCTTTGTGTGTGTGTGTGCTAAGATGGAGTTGTTTTAGCAAAAGGATTGTAAAGAAGCACCCAAATCCGTTTAGCCGTAGCTCCGCAAAGGGCAGAACACATTACCTACCCAAGCTTTGCAGCCGGAGTGCGCTAGCCTTGGCTGCCTTGGTGGACGTCGATTCGAGGCGAGAGTTCCTGCATCTCAGGTCCTCCTGCGATGGTCCGCTACAGGATCGTCCGGTCTGGGGGGGGGGGGGGGCAATGCTTTCACGCTTTGAGCCAAGCCATTTTGAGCCAGTCATGAGCTTTGGAGGTCGTGTCGGCTGTGCCACTCCGCAGCTCTGGCTCGAAGTTTTTTTCGCGTTGCTCCGAACATACAACGGAGGCAGGCTCGTGATCTTCGTTGAGGTTGCACCTAGCGGCCTAGCGCGACATGCCGCATGCCACATTAGCCGTGCATTGCCGTGCAGCACGGTGTTCCGCAGGCATCCGCTGCTTACCGCTGCACCGCAAGAGTGTAGTGGAGCAGGGACTGGGCAGCGATGGCATCAGGCACACCGTGCTGTGGTCGCTGCTTTCATCGCTGGCACTCATCTCTGTCTCCGCCTCCTCCGCCTCCGAATGTGTCGAATCATTCAAGGTAGCCCGAGTAGGGTCAGCAAGTGCTTAGCAAGTGCCTTGTGAGAGCTCGGAACTTAGCTAGTGCTTTGTAAGCCCTTGATGCCTTCATAACCGGTGCACGCGGGTTTGCTGCGTGCTTCAATGCATCCATGGAATCCGGGATATGTTGCCCGGACATTCACTTTAGAAGCTTCGAGCTTACTAAGCGCTTGCTAAGCGCTCGCTAAGTACTCGCTAAGCACTTGGACCTCGACAGCCTGTATGTCGCGCGGGCTTGAACACCGGCCCAACAAAAAACCTTGACATCCTCCAAGCAGGCGTCTCCGCCTAACTGAGGCCACTCTGGCTCCCCCCCATCCCCCGACCCCTCCCCTAACATCTGGAAAGCATGCTGCGGGCATTTCACTTCGAGCAGGCTGTGTTGTGAAGGCCTCTGCAAGGAGGCTCCCTCCCCTTCAAAGGGTTGGCCGACTCCCCCAAGTCTCAGTTGAACGTTTCCGCAGTAAGATAAAGAGTTGACGTTGACTCGGGTGTGTGAGTGGAACAATGCCAAGAGCAGCCTGGACAGAACAACTCAATCATCATGTCTGGAAAGCGTAAGGGCAGGAAGGATTTCCGCATGAGCGGGTACGCTGACACTCGGCGACCTCAAGAGAGTTAGGGAGCAGGTATGACTTAGAGTGTTGGAATGGCTTATCCATCGCGTGAAATCAGCATCACAACAACAACTGCGTCATGAGACCTGTCGTCATGGCGCAGGCATGCATGCTGCCGCTGTAGGACCGGGCTTTGTGGCCGTCTTGCTATCTTCTGTGCCGCTGCTGTTTTCGAGGACAGCTCGGACCTTGCAAGTCCACGAGGTCAGGCGCCGATGTAGTGGGGCTCGATGCGTGCGGTGCCCCAGAGACTTGCTCGGCAGCATGACATGGATGCTTGCTCTATCCTCTATCTTGGGCATTTTGGCTCTAAACAGCAGCCTGGCAACCTGTAGCCCGGGGCGCCTTCCCACAGTCGCCCGGCCAACGACACTTGACATCAAGACAGAAACTCCTGCGGACTGATTGGGGTTCGCACGACTGCGTGCTGATTTCCGATGCGACATTTGGAAAGCATGACGGTAACTCATCGTGTCCATCCGCACAAGTCATTTGGCTTCCGTGTTCACTTGTTTGCTCTCACTTTTGATAAGGCCGTTGACATCTGGGCCCCACACCGTGATCCCACTGATCTCGCACCATGACAAGAAAATCCGCAAATTTGTGAGATGTGATGGTTCTGAGACAGAATTTTCTACAGCACCACGACAACCATGTTTGAAAGTTTGGTACGGGAGCTGATTGAGTATGGTGTGCACAGCAAAGAACTGACAAGCAACGATTGCTCTGTGTGGGTTCCGGATGAAGGATCGCAAAGCATTATGCACAGCATCATCATTCGGCACAGCAACCCAGGTAAACGCGAAAACAGTCACCCCTTTCGCCATGCCAACGTGAGCAAATCTTGGCTTCTACTGCCTAAGTAATTCAAGCAGCGATTCTTGCTTGGCTTTGCTGACGAGGATTATTCCTCTGGTCCGACAGAACATGGAACCGGTGGCTGAGTTGCACGTGGGTAACGTATTTCCCTTCTGCCTGGCCTGCAAATCATGTCGCATGTATCGATTCGATTTTCGGAAGGTTCATTTGTGAGCCGCCAAGGTCACGCCGACCGTGTCGCGAAGAAAGACCGCCGAGGACGCATCGCGGCAGATGTTCGACAAGCGGGAGCTGCGAAAGCGCGACCTGGCGAGCGCATAGCGATAGCAGTGCTTTGGAGGAAGGACGGTGGGCGGAAGGACTGAGCGAGTTCCGAGGCAACAAGTCGATCTACCTTGAAAGACTGGGCTCTTGGCGCCAGCTGCAGAAAGAGGTGGCAGGCCTCAACTTCTTTGAGCTTGCCATGTGCTTCCGTGGCAGGTCCCAGCAAGCTCCGACAGCAGGCCGTCTTCTCGTGTACGAGCGCCTCGATGTCCAGAAGAGCTCTGTCACTTTCCATGCGCGTTATGTAGTTAGCATCTCTTAGTCACTGTGCCGACTTCTGATCCAGGTCTACATCCGGAAGCGACCTTTGTTCGATCACGAGGAGAGGCTTGGGGAGTTCGATGTCGTGAGTGTGAAGGGGGAGCAGCAGGTGGCCACCTGGCGACAACCAGGGGGAAAGAAATACAGTGCAGTGGTACCATGAATGTTGATTGTAGAAGGGCCAAACCGCCAAGCCCAGGTCATCCACAACTGCTTGACGAAGGCAGACTTGCGATCCCTTTACGAGCTCGGCTTACACTGGCGAATGCTTCTGTGGAAGGGATAATAGTCTTCAACCATCTGCCCTGAGATGCAAGGTCTCTCACATGGGCTACCAGTTCACAGAAGCTTTCAACGAGGCTGCCACCAATGACGATATTTATTCCCGCTGCGCTGCACCAGCTGTGCACCATGAGCCTCGGAATGAAAGAAGCTATCACCTTGAGCTTTGTGGTCTCTCCCCATTCCTTGTGGCTTCGATCCCAGGTCTTGGCGGGGCAGGTGCTGACGGCAGTGTGAGTGCTCGTTGCCTGTGGTAGGACCTACATTGCTCAACTTGCTTTGCTTCAGGTGGCAACACTCTTCCTTTTCGGGCAAACGGGCAGCGGCAAGAGCCATACCATGACTGGGCTCATGCGACGAGCAGTACAAGATCTGTTTGCAGAAAGCGAAACAGATTCTGTCACTTGCATCTTGGCCACAGCTTCTGTGGCATGTGTGTTGATAGCCGTCATGTCATACAAAGCTAAGAAAACACGCGCCCCGGACTAGAGGAATAATAGGTGTCAGGTTAGGACAAGTCAAAGACAGTACAACCAAACGTTTGGCTCAAGGAAAACAAGCATGATTGCATTGCTTGTTGTACTTCCTTGTTAGAACACTTGTGTCTCTCGTGTTCTTCTGGTTAACAGCCTCAGCTTGTTGATCGCTGTTCATTAGTGTCTGTGGCTAGGTGAGCCTAGGGCCTAGAGCCTCTTCCTGAGCCACAGCCCTTCCTATTGTAACTCCACCGCGCTTGGTGTAGAGTTTGGCATCGCTGAGAGTAGGTCTTGCAAGTGGCCTGCCATATTTGTATTGTGTTAGCAACCTGTGTAGGCCAGACCCGAGCCACCAGGTAGAGCATTCCATATCCTGAACTTCCCAACTTCCATATCTTCCGATTGTGCATGCCAACGGCAATAGAGATACTTCACGACTGAGCCATCAATCTTTACTACAGCACGACTGTGGGTTCTTTCCGACCTACCTTCAGAACCGACGAAGGTGGAACAGAACTAGGACACGTTGGAAGAGGTTCGTTCGCAGGTCCATTGATTCGTGGTATCGCACATCCTTCTTACTACGGTACTTCCCGTGATGAACAGGCTGTCGCTGCTTGCTTCTTCACTACGCGCAGCGAGGTCATTGCATCGCATTCGCACTTAAAGCCTAGCTACTGGTAACTTGTTGGCATTCTGCCTCTGGTTAATCAAGAACCGCACCACAACATCCCGACATCCAAATCCGAGATTAGGCTGAGCCAAAAGCATATTCAGCATCGAACCTTCAATCAAAGATTGTGATTCAAAGGCAACAGCCGCACCCAGGATTCACCCTATTGTAAGGTAGAGGACTTGGATTGCATCAGTGCCTCTTGCTTGGCATCTCGCCACTGGAGCATCCCCGCATTCCTGAACATCCCAAAACAGAACAGCAGGCAAAGCTTGAGATTGATTCGGTTTCACAAAGCTTGAGATAGATTCGGTTTCAGAGTCAAAGACCTTGACCGCATCATATCTGAACCGCAGCCGGTGCGCAAGGTCCTTTGGTTGGCTGTTGCTAGTAGCTTCCTTTGTTGTGCTTAGTACAATCGAAGCGCTTGCACTTCACCTTCAGTAAGCCACTATTACGGCATTGGGGTGGCAGGGATAAAGCCATTGGTGTACCGCTCAGCATGTCATTGATGATGCTGACGGCACGTCACTCGACAAGGTCGTCTTTCATCCCCGTAGATTTGAGCACTTGGGTTGGAGGCTCCCAACGTTACGCTTGTGACTGCGGGCCATGCGGGCTTCTAACCTGCTCGCCGGAATGTGCCTGGGCAGGACAGGACCAAGGCCGTGTTGTGCTCAAGAAAGTTGTGTTGCTCCGCTTGTCCGGTTGTCCGCGGCCCTCCTGGTGTTGTGCCCAGCGGCGGGAAAACACCTACGCGAGTGATCCGCTGTAAGACTGATCAAAATTGCAATCTGAATGCTGCTTGGGACCCTGTCGCTCGCAATCCCGGTCGGGCTCTGCGGTCGTGGCTTATTGACTTTGATCCGAGTTTACGTTCTGTCCTTGGCGACACGTGGGGATGGGAGCAGTCCAAAGGCTTTCAGGGCCAGCGTGCCCAGGGCCTCCTGCGCATTGAATCCCAAAAGGCTTGGAACCTCCTCGCGCATTCTGGCAAAATGCATGAGGGACAGCGTTGGTACTTCGAGCTTGCTTCAAAGGAAACCGGCGACACTGACATCACCATTGATTGGCTTGATCGCGATCGCCAAAGTTGGTTTGACCATGCTGCGCATGCTGCCGGTATCGCTGGCGCTGTGGGACGTGCTCAGCCTGGCATCCGTCGCAGGCGGCGCAGGCGCACGCTGTGGAGACTCCGAGCATGCCTGGATGTAGACCGTGACCGTGATGTCTTTCATTTTCTGCCAGAAAATGCTTCTGAAGGTGAGGAGATCCTGCTTTCTGTTGCTGAGCCGCGCCGTCGTCAGTGCGAGGTTCGTGCTGAACTGCCTCCCGAGGGACGGGCCTTCTACCACAGCAAGCTGATGACCTTGTTGTTGCGACTTACTGTCCTACAAAAGAACAGATAGCAAATGGACTCACTGAGGTGATACATCCTTACGAGGTGCCCGAAATGATTGTTCAACAGGTCTTAAGCTAGTCCCAAGAGAGGATTTGCTTTGATCATCCTAGCCGACAGCGTTGCCCGTGCTGAAGCGTTTGCTTCCAATCTGCCTCAACGCGTAACCAAACAGCATATAGTGCAACTTCTGTCCTGTCTGCCACGAGAACAGTCTGCGAGAGAGCTGCAAATGACGTGCGTTTTTTGCATCAGGTGCTTGCGTTCACGAAGGAGTCGTCGATGTAAGACGTTTGACACGGATGTTTCCAAAGTCAACTGCCGTAATCATTAGGTTCCTTGCATGGACAGTTTGTGCTTTCGCATACCTTTACCACCATTGTAGTCCAGGAGGGTGTCATGGCACCACTGCACAGGGACTCACACAACGCGCCAGGCTCTAAGAACTTACTTGCAAGCCTAACGCATTGCACAGAGCCGCTGCTATGGGTTGAGGATCCTGATGGAGACTCCCCATGCCCGGTAACAGGTGTACATTTGCGAGGCTTCATGTTGAAGAGCCCTGCAAAGGTCCATCCACGCCGTTGGCATGCGTCAATGGCCACAAGCAATCCTAAGTTCACTGCAGATGCATTCAGCACTAGAAATGCAACCAACATCAGTCCTGATGATCACCACTTGTTGCGCGAGCTAGGCTTTAAACTCCGGTAGCCGTTGACTGTTGTAAATATGGCCGTTGGCACAGGCTCAGGTGAATGCTTGGACATGTCCTAAAGGGGGGAGCTTTCAGAAAACCCGCACCCCGGGCATGTTCACTAGACGGGAAGAGGTGTCAGGTTAGGACAAGTCAAAGACAGCACAACCGAACATTTGGCTCAAAAAACAAGTGTGATTGCATTGCTTGTTGTATTTCCTCGTTAGAGCATTTGTGTCTCTGTGTTCCCGTGACAACGTGCAGTTAGAGGCATTTTCTGCATCGAAGGCAAACTCACTGCTTTCGAAATCGCCGGCAAAAACATGCGGGACTTGCTGGGAGACGGATCCAATGACCTCAAGGTGGCGAAAGTTACACTTTCATGCGAGCCAGCAGACGATGCAGCCTTCTCAGCTTTGTCAGGTCATGGACAAGGGGAATAGGACTCGCATTGTGGGTGCGCATGTCTGCGTGAGCCCCGGTGTGAGCGTTGTTTCCCCATGTGATCCTCAGTTTCTGCTAGCGACACGTTCTCGCTCAGGTGAGCTGAGCAGTCCGGACAATTTGCAGCAACTGCTGGAAGGCTCTGCTAGCGACGGGCACGAGCGCTGACGAGTCGCTTCAAGGTGGTGCACAGGACATGCACTTGTCTCTGGAGCCTGCAGGTGCGCTTGCTCGCCGGGCAACGCGGGCGACACAGGCCAACGACACTTCGTCCCGCTCCCATGCCGTGTTCCGCATCTGCCTACCAGGAGGCGGGGTGATCGGCTTGGAAACCCGGGTATTCCAGGTGTTTCTTCGCACTGGGCTGAAGTCAGATCTCATGCCAGTGTCAGGTGCAGTGCTGACCTTGGTGGATTGTGCTGGGAGCGAAAGGCGTCAAGACACCACGCAGCACGATTCGCAAGGTCAGAAGGAGACTTGGCATGGTGGAAGGCAGTATCGGGAAACAGTTTCGAGTTGAAGCCCAGCTAAGGAGAGCGCTGAAATCAATGCAACGATCTTCGCTCTGAAGGCGGGACCAAACTTGGCACGGGCACGCATTGTAGTGGAGCTCGTTTTGTAGCAGGAGTGCTTCAGAGCCATGCGCTCGCCGAAAGGACAGTGGCGGCCTCAGCTCTGCTTCACTGCCTTGCTTCGTGGAAGTGTCCGGGTGTCGGGAGTCCGGAGCTAAGGCCGCCCTTTCGCAGCAGCCTGCTCACACGTGTGCTGTCCGACAGCTTCAGCAGCACCGACGCCATGATTGTGGCCATAGGCTGCAAGGGTTCTGCCAGGATTTTCCGGCTTGACATACTAGATACCATCAACCCCAAATAAGCTGCAAAAGTTGTACGTCATGGAGGGACGGTGAGTCCCTCGGCGACTGATACGGAGCACTCGCTGGCCACCGTGCGGTCTTTGCAGGATCCTGTTCGGGCTGAGAAGGTAGCCACTTTTTTCTATCTACGTCGGAAGTTCTGGTGCAGGAGCTGCAGGGGACGAAGATGGCCTTCGAGGAGCAGGAGCGCACGTGCTTGTGGGTTTTTTGTGATTGTCGATATCGGTCGATTTTTCGAGGCGGCCTGCCGGTTGAAAAGCAACCATGGCAGGAGGACATCGTCCAGCGGAAGCAGGCTTGAGACTGTGCAATGCGGCACCGAGAGATGCCACGATGCTCCCATGTCTGGCTGAGGCAGGGGAGGCCCACCCGCGCACCTGGACGGAAAGCGATGTTCGGCACTTCCTCCAAAGCGCTGCCAGTGGTGCTGCGCGGCTTCACGCAGAGGCAGTCACAAAGGCCAGAGCTTCTGAGATCTCTTGCGGACGCACATCTGCTGCATGCAATTCTTGGTGTTGATGTTCTTGAGCCATTTGGGGGCCCCTGGCTTCGTGAGCCGGCAGGGCACTGATGGGAAAATCTTCACCCGGTGGCAGTGGCCTCGTTTGAATGCCGCAAAGCGAGCGGCAAAGCAAAGCAAAGCAAAGCAAAGCAAAGCAAAGCAAAGCAAAGCAAAGCAAGCAGAGAAAGGTTGCGCGCGCCCAGCCTTTAGAATGCCTTTGCCGAGGCCCGTGCAGCGCTTCACACAGCTCTGCGCGGGCGATGCGGTCTTGGGGCAGAGGCTCTTCGACGAGCTCCGCAAGGATCTGAGAGAACAATGGAGCCTCAGACAGTTCGGACGTGTTT